CATGGGTCTAAGGTATGTTTTTTGATACTCAAGCTTGTGAGTTTAGTACTTGATTTATCTTTGAGAGATAGGCTAGACCGAGATCACCGTTTAAACACTTGTTGAAACTTGAGAAAAAGTTTGCAAAGTTAACATTGAGTAGTATATGTTTCACACTTGTTAGAATTTATGAAAAGTTTGCAGGTCAGTATCTTGCCGAAGTAAAAGTTTTGTAGCTATTATACCCGAGGTATGTAACCCCGAGAAGATTGCACAAATGAGGCAAAGTATGAAAAATATTCTAAGTATAGAATCATGCAAGAGCAGTTAGAAGAAGATCAAGACAGAATTCATGATGATTGACATGCACTCACCATACAATATCATCTTGGGAAGATCATGGTTGCATGCAATGGGGGCAGTTCCCTCAACGTTGCATCAACTACCGCGGTTCCCAACAGAACATGGGATTGAAGAAGTCAGAGGGGATCAACTGCAGGCGGAGAATTGCTCCATGGCAGCAATGAAATCCACCTACAGCATTCGAGAACTAGAGAAGGCAGATATTGAAAACGAGGACATAGAGGTACTAGATGATGTCGGCAAGGAGCCAGCCGAGAGGAGTGAAGAGACACTGAAAATCCTCGTCCTGGAGGGGGATGAAGAACGCTTCTTTCTTCTCAAGCTTAGCCGAAGAAGAAGAAAGAGAATTTGAAGCTTGTTTGAGAGCAAACATTAAGGGATTTGCTTGGACACCTTATGAAATGTCTGGCATTGACCCCGAGGTCACATGCCACAAATTGAACGTCGACAGGTCGGCCAAACCTGTAATCCAATGAGCAAGAGGGCCAACGTTGATACACGTCGAAGCAGTAGAGGAAGAAGTAGACAGACTTTTGGAGCTCAGGGCCATCCGAGAAGTCAATTACCCGACATGGCTATCAAATACAGTGGAAGAAGGAATGATAATCAAGGAGCTCGGAATATTAACATCGGCCAAGAACAGACTTTTTTCAGAAGCAAAAAAAGGTTACATATGCAAAGAAAACAAAAGTACAAAGATGAAGACCCTAAGAACTAGGGACTAAGGCAAGAACGTCGGACTAATCTACTTCAACGGTTGACAGTGGTTTCAGCATTGGCAGTCAACTGGAAGAGCTTCTCTACCACTATCTCGGCAACAATTTCAAGAAGGGACGTGGTTCTAAGACTATGCAGAAAATAGAAACGAAGGCAAGAATCTGGAAATACAACAAGAAAAAGAAGAAAAGAAAAATCAGAGTCAAGAAGATGACAAAGTTGAAGAATAAAGCCAAGTGCACAGGCACTAAGTAAGTATGTGAAGAAACAAGAAAGTAATGAACCAGACATGAAACTAGCAACAGAAAGCGGATATGACAAGAACAAGTGCCAGGCATTCAAACAACTCAAGACTTGAAGACAGACGAAAATAGAAGGCAACAGAGAACAAATAAACAGATTCAAAATAAATCAGAAGAGTTATGAAAGGTTGAGCTTTATAAAAAAGTAAAGAGTTTATGAACCTATAAAGTGAAATGAACGCCGATATGAAAATCGCCGGAGTCAAATAGATGACTGGAAATCAGGAACTCACCAGAGAGTGTGAGTGGAACAATTACAAAAGCTCTTGGAGTTTACGAATTAATGGAACCAGAACCTCGGCTAAGAGGTGCGATTTCAAGCAGCTTGGAAAGCATGAAGCTTGATTCTTGACACCAGTGGACAGTAAGGTCCAGGGAACTTTGAGGTTGGCAAGTTTGATCACGGACAGAGGGGCACAGATGAACGAACAGTGTAGGTTCAACACGTGGCAAGGTGACGCCGATGTGTCAGCCGAGGTGCCACGTGTCTTGGTCGTTGCGCCGAGGTCATCTCGGCTAGGCCGAGGTTGCCTCCGAAGATATCGGAATCCGAGATAAGTGGATAAGGGACAAGAGTCCTAAAATAAAGAGGGCACTCAACTTGGATATGGACAAGAGTCCTAGATTGGGAGAAGACTTCAGTTTGGGTAAAGATAAGACTCTTAGAGAGTTTATCCTAATCCCACTGGGAGTCCCAGATTAGCAGTAATCCTAAGTCCATTAGGGCCAGGCTCCTTTTGGGACTAGGATTGTATTGGCTATAAAAGAGAGGCACCCCCATGGGTCTAAGGTATGCTTTTGATACTCAAGCTTGTGAGTTTAGTACTTGATTTATCTTTGAGAGATATACTGACTTGATCGTCGGAGTGCCCCCGAGTGGTCGAAACCACCACGGGATTCTTATATTTCTGTTGCAGGTCAGTCAGGTGCCATCTATTCTGCTAGTGCTCTCCAGCTGATTACTAAGCGGGCAGTGTGGTCAAAAAATCACCCACACACATCCTAATATGTTTTTTTTCTTTATTTTATTTTATTTTATTTTTATAATAAATGTTACGTATTCTTTTAGTAAAATTATGACAAGTTGTTATCCAAAAATAAAATTACACATTTTGTGATAATGTTATACATGTTTTTAATCCAAACATCTTCTAACCACAAAATGTTTAATATTATCACACACAAAAAAAAAAAAAAGGGCCTAACTTCAAATTGTCGTAACTCCACCAAAAAAATAAATAACATTTATCACAAAAATACGTAACAAAGTGCATGTGATAACACCGTAGAATTTTCAAACAATATTGATAGCACTAACTAGCCAGCTGAGTCAAAGTCGCTAGCCTTTTCTCTGCAGTAGTAGTAGTAGTAGTAGTCATCTGATTTAAAAAGCCAACCACTAATGCTGTGTTTGGTTGAGGGATTTGGAAAAGGAAAGAAAAAAGATGTGTGAAACTATGTGAAATGTAGGTGTATTTTATTTACATTTCACCTTCCTTTTTCTTTTCCCTTTCCAAATCCTTTCCCAAATCCCCCAACCAAACACAGCGTAAGAAAAACAGAGATGATGTTAATTTCAGAATAGTGGTTGGTTGCTTAAAATAGTAATGAAATGATTCATGTCAAAGTTACAAGCTATATTTTTGTCACTTCCCCTCAACAAATACAAGAAGAAAATTCTTCAAAGAAGTCCCCATATTACAGCCCAAATATTCTACTTGCACAACTGACAAACATGATCTACACTGAATACTGACTAAATTTCTTAGCAGCACAATTGAGTTGTCAACATAACAATCAAATTTCAGCTCATTTCAGTACCTTCAAGTAGAACATATTTTGTAGTACAGAAGTAGACGGACATTCTGGCTTTTATATAATCAAGGAAACATTCCCTCAAGAAACTCGTCAAAGTTTTCGTCGTCATCGCTCTTACTCTTATGATCACTTGCCGAAGTTGAAGCCACCCTTTCTACAAAGAAGAGCATGTAAATTAACAATAAGCTTATCTTAGATGGTCAAGGATGAGCATAAAAGGTCTCTCTTATAATATTTTATGATTGTAATAAGAAGAATCATACTGAAAGAACATCAAATATGAGTGAGTAAGATTTAGCAGTTAGCAAAAGAGGAATTAACAGGTGCCCCTTGAAAGTGGAATCAACAGTTATAGCCAAAGCTTGAACACGAGTGTGGACAAGCCTGTTTAGTTTAAATGAATTTTAAGTTGAACCAGGGGGCATTGGATTGGGCGTAGAGTTCAACTCACTTTAGGGTAAATCCCTACTCACTCATATGCTGATAAAGGTGGCCGGATATGCAGACAGTTATAAAATTAATCCATTAAAATCATACTAGACATAAAATTGCAAGCATTTAACAATCAACCACTATTCCTAACAAGCAGCTTTTGAACTAACCACAAAAAAATTGTCTCGATTTTATGTTTCTCTACTAATTTTCCCCTTTATGGTTTCTTTAAATTTGAGTCTACTGGTTTCCGCCTTCATTAGAATGAGTTTTAGCCCCTATCTGATTTTCATTTTCATCCATTACAATGTCCCATTGTTTGTTTGCCTAAAATTCAAATGATGTGTACTTTACTTGAATGTTTTAACGACTTATAATTCAATTTTCATATATGATACATTATTATTAGAGAAAATCACTACTTTGCATAATCAAATTTAATTCTAATCATTCTTTTATAATATGTTTATTGTTTAGAATACGCTTAAAGCTCCTAAAACATCAAACCCTAAACTATAGCCCCAATGACGTGGACTGTTGCACATCAATTGTTGGTTTGTTTAGGAATCAACCAAGACCCAACCCATTGACACGTCAGTGCATGTGGGAAAATTTAGGGGGTGTTGAGGGATCTCAAGCATCACTCTTATTCTTTTATCAGAATATGCCATGAACGCCACCCATAGGGCATTCTAGCCCAAAGTGCAACACTTCGTGACTTTCCAATTACACTGCTGTAATTTTGGCAGGTTTGTCTTGGAATTTTTTTACGTTGCTTCAATATGTGCAGCTACAGCAAGGATCTGTTGCAAGTGTGTGATTTATCTTAACAAAGTCATGCCTTATCACTCCACAGCTAGCTAGTATTTACCAAACATGGGATAGTATAGAATTATCCCTATTCCATCCCCTCATCGATGCAAAACAAATACTAGGTACTGTAAGTCATACCCTATTATTGTTTCCTGGAAGTTATGTGCTGAGTGAAAATAGGGCAGATCCTGTAACTACCTCCTATAAATTAGGGACTGAGAACTGCCAATTATTGACCAGGTCTATCCTCTACTTGTTACACCTAATGGCTAATGCTTTGAACATCACGGCCTGAGCCTTGGGCACTCCATCCTTTCTGGAACATAATGCCACATGGCGGCCTCCTATTGGCCCTGCCAAATTGGGTTCAAACAGAATCGAAGGCAACCAAAGAAAGTATCTTGGTAGCCCACAACTAAACTCATCTCCAGACCAGGGCTGGCCCTAAGGGTAAGGCAGGTAAGGCCGCTGCCTCGGGCTCCCAAATTCTGTGTAAAAAATAGGGCCTCGAAATAATTTCGATCTTAAGTTATGTTTGGTTAATTATTATTATTATTGATAAATATGTTTAGTTAATTATTTTGGTCTTTTAAGTTATGTTTGGTTTATCAAAATAAAGTTGAATAGAGTAATCATTTCATCATTAAGTCTATTTTCACATTTAATTTATCAAAAAAAAATTACAAACGAAATCATCATTCATTATTGTGGGGGAATAGTATAAGAAATGACTATTCCATTCAATTCAATTTCATTTTAGCGAACCAAACACTACATTATAGGATTAGTAGTTTAAAAATAAATATTTAAACAAACAATTGAATTGGTGAATTATTTAAAAATAATGGATGGTTGCTTGCCAATTATATAAATTATTTATAGAATATTATATGACTATACGAGTTACAATTGCTTCTGGAGAAATAATTTTTTTAAGTTGAAGCTAATTAAATGTTATAATTGAATTTACTACGTCAAGAAAAAATAAGAATAAATTAATATTGTTAACAATCGAAAATGTTCAAAATTTGCCTCAATAATTATGTGTACCATATGCAACAAATTTATAGAAAGTACAAAAAAAAAAAAATTGAAGATTGTTATTATTTTACCAATATATATATATATATATTAAAATATGCATGAGAGCTGGAGCCCCATCTTCTGAGTTCGCCTTAGGCCCCCAAGAAGTCAAGGCTAACCCTGCTCCAGACCACTTGACAACATTTTCTTTATGTGAATTGGCTCAATTGCAGGACCAAGATTCGGGTTCCAGTCATTTTTTTCCACTGCAAGATAGGGTTCTTTTTTTATTTTCTTTTAAAGTTTCTCTTCAATAAAATGTATGAATAACAACTACAAGCCACCTCTAAACCACTTGACAGAGCATTGGTTAATCACTATTCAGGTTGACTTAAATAAAGCTTATTGATCATTTATTTTTTCAATCTTAAAAGAGAAAAATATTCTTGCCACGATGATCATCTTGACCTGCCAGTGCAGGGAACGATAAGTGAACTGTGCCTCTACTTATAGCACAAATTTCCAGAAGGACACAATAAGAAAAACGAGCTTCTTCCTGAGCCTCAAGGATCCTTTCTGCTCAAAGACTACAACCACAAGTAGCCTAGGTCAGGATGCCCTAACAAGCACGGGCACAAACATGGACATGAGACACGACGCGCTAATTTTTCAAAAATGCAGGACACAACGTGCTAAGGACACAAAAATATTTATTTTATATATTTATCGTATGTCATATACATGAATCCTTTATGTAAAAATAATGATTTTTTTCCCTAATTCCATATACCATAACAATAAAATTAAGAAATATAAATTCAATTTTTTCCCCCCCAAAACATTTCAATAAAACCTAAGAACTGCGCATTCAAAGCATAAACAAGGGCCTAAGAAGCATGATTGCTGTTGTGGGGGAAGCGTGTCGTGGACTCATGTCCAACACCCGTGTCGCACACTTCTAAAAGTTTGTCCAACACTTTTTCAATGTGTCGCAATCAAAAAAACAAATTCATGATATTGGACACTATGAAAACTTTGTAGACACTTCAATCACACTTCTTGAACCTCCCAACACATCTTATATGCGATGAATTCCTTCAAAATAATGATGTTTTGCATTTTTAGAACACAACTTAAGCACTCTAAATATGTTTTGAAGCATTTATAAGATAAATAAATCGTGTGTATAATGTTCTATAATTATTCTGCATTCTTTATAATATACTTATTGTGGGAATGATACCTTGATGTTAAGTTATGAAATATTATCTATTTAATGTAATTAATGTTTTTTTCTCTTTTTTTTCTTTTTGTTTTTGTTTTTCTCGCTTTGAATAAATTATTAATATATATGACAAATAAAGTTCCAGCAGGAATGTATATGGGGCCAAGTCCTACCAGAACGTGCATTCCAAACCAAGCAAAGCCTACTTTAAAAGGCTTCAAAGCAAAGAAAGACAAAAAGTCAAGTATCAATTTAGTAAGAAGTTGTTCTATGTGCCCTTTCCGTCCCCGAAAGCCACCCCTTGCCTGGTTTGCTTAAATTTGTAAAAAATATAAAATTTTAACGTGTTCCAAGTGTGTTGCATCCTACATTTTTTGAAAATCGAGGTGTCGAAGTATCCGTGTTGTGTCTGTGCCGTGTCACATGTTCGTGTATGTGCTTACTTAGACAAGGGCTCAAGTAACTAATTAAGAATTGTTATACATTAAAAATCTAAATACAAGCATATGCATTTAAGCAGACCATAACAGGCATTTTACGGAATTGGACCACAAACTGTGAATGCAAATGAAATGGTGCCAATCTATGTTGCACGGACACGGACACGGGACACGACACGGACACGACACGGACACGCAAAAACGTAATTTTTCAAAAAATAGGGGACACGACACGTTGGGGACACGTTTAATATATATAATTTTCAAGTATCAATTTAGTAAGAAGTTGTTCTATGTGCCCTTTCCGTCCCCGAAAGCCACCCCTTGCCTGGTTTGCTTAAATTTGTAAAAAACATAAAATTTTAACGTGTTCCAAGTGTGTTGCATCCTACATTTTTTGAAAATCGATGTGTCGAAGTATCCGTGTTGTGTCTGTGCCGTGTCACATGTTCGTGTATGTGCTTACTTAGACAAGGGCTCAAGTAACTAATTAAGAATGGTTATACATTAAAAATCTAAATACAAGCATATGCATTTAAGCAGACCATAACAGGCATTTTACGGAACTGGACCACAAACTGTGAATGCAAATGAAATGGTGCCAATCAACACATCAATAATGGACCAATTTTTAGGTGAAAACCCGTGAGTATTTTTTCTAATTTTTTTTTATCACAAACTGCAGTCGTTGGTTATGTGAAGAGAATGAAGAAGAGAGACTCAGGACACTGCTTCTATGAATGACCTTGATGGAGCTTTGTGACTTTTCTTTGTTCTTTTCCTTGTTGATATAGACCATTTACAGACAGCTAGTTCAGCGAACAAGAGAGGAAGGAAAAGAAAAGAAAAGAACAAAGATAGAAAGAAAGAGAAAGGTTCAGTGGTGACCTTTGATACCCTCAACGACAACTTGGACATATCCTCTCTCACATCTTCAACTTTGACATCCTCAACAGCTTGGGCATCTGTTCGAACAACAGATGCCTCTGTTGTGTTGTAGATATTTTTGACAACTTTTGAATTTCATATTTTAACCAGGTCAAAATGTTTAAAAAATTTTATTATGACTTTGAACATAGATATGTCCCTTACGTGTCAGGGGCGTATCCAAGATGGAAAATTCTAAATTAAAAAGAAAAAATGAGAAACACTCACTGCGTGTTGGACATGTCAACCACGTCTCGGACGTGCGTTGGTGTCCAACACTCGTACATTGCCTCTGGGTCAGTGCTTCATAGACCTTGTCTATCCTCCTATGCTTCAAGCAGATACAACGGCCCTTCCCCTAGTCCTTGAAGTGCCTGCAGTTGAATCCTCTACTCATTTCACATGAAAATATCAAATAGTACCATCACGAAACCATCTTTGTTTTCCTCTCGTCTTATCCTCAGTACTACATCTATGTTTTAATTGCATATTCACCTATAATAGTCTCTTCTAATCTCCCTACTCATTGATCTAAACATCCACACGTTAGCAACCCTTATTATATAGGCATGTATATCTTAACCATTAAATATCTTATACTATAAATAAAGCATAATCTTATCTAATGGACCCCACTCCTTGAAAGTGAAATCTCACAAGATCGGAAATTTGATACGTAATACATTCACAATTCAAACCCATTCAAAGATAAAAGTCATTATCCAGTGGTGGTCTTGCCAATATTGGGTGCTAAGAGGGGTAGAAAAGGGATATGACCAACTTTATTTAAATTACATTGAGGGAGCTTCTATATGCACAACACACTTTGTCTCAGTTCATAATATTTATGTCATTTAGATATCAACTTCCAAACAAAAATCAAATGTTCAGAAATCGACTTCTGAACAGAAATTAGTTGTTTAGATATCAACTACTGAACATGATTTTCTTTTAAAAAAATTTATTAGGAAATTAACATCCAAAAAATTCATTTTTGTTCAGAAGTTGATATCCGAACGGCAAAATGGTTTGAACTGAGAATTTCTGTGTTGTTAGAATAGAACCTCCCTTAAATTGATGCCCCTAGTATCTAGCCTCCATTCTCACACCCAAGAGCCTGGTTTTACCATTTCACCAAGCGACACACTATATACATACGAAAGAATAACCAAGCCAGCTTAGTCAAGCCATTGGACATTGTTATATATATTAAAAAAAAAAATGCTTTAAATAGAATCAATGGTGAAACCAAACCTTTTTTCCTTTTTTTGCTCCTCCCATATCCAGTATCAGTACCATCACCACTTTCCGATCTTTCCCTGATAACAAAACACAGTCAGTTCTATGCAGCAGAAAACCTAGGCACATATCTTTTATTAGTAATGACAAATCACAATCAAGATAAACCTCTTTTTCAGGAGCTCTTCTTTCTCTCTTTTTCTCAATTGTTCTTTCTCCTTCATCTTTTTGTAAAGAAGCTTCTCAGCACATCTATTTGGGCGTTATTAACAAACAGAAACACAGAGTTGAGCTTATCAAAGGTATGTTCAACACTATTAATAAGCCAATGAAAGAAATCACATTGAATTGATGCACAAAAGACATATTCAACTAAACCAAGACATGGAAAGAACCAAATAAATGAATTTCCTTAAACTTTCTAAATGACATGAGGCACTCAAGTAGTTAGGTTCCCAAAGAGACAACTCATTGCTACATAATCTCTTGTCTGTATCTTTGTTAGACTAAGTTTGCGAGATCCTGCTAAATTTGGTTCAAAGTACGAAGATGTCATGGTAAAGACAATATTAGAAAGCAAGAAACCACATGGTCGTGTATTTATAAAAAGGTAGCAAGTCCATGAGAGGGGCAAAATAATAGTACTCAATAAACTGATTAATAGAACAATCAACCAATTGGTTAGAGAATTAAAGGCACCTTAATTAAAATAGGATACAGGGGAGCAACGCAAAGCATCCTTCAGTGTGAAATATTAACCAGAAGCAAGCTCACAAAAAGCTGTTACATTGGATTCGGGTAAGGTTGTCGAGTGCAGGGTGCATATCGAGAGGTCAGGCCCATCAAAACTTCAATTTATGGGTACGTGAACGCAGCAAAATATTGTCATATTTTTATGTTTTTAATCTATTATGTGAGATAAAATGGTGGTATATATAACAGTGTCACTTTCTTTTATTTTTTTAGCAATTATTTCACAATCTATACATATAATGATAGTGTTAAATATAAATATAAATATATCAGAAGGGTCTGATGTAAAATATCAGACACATAACTCATACCCTTGTCCAAGTGCCGGGTGTCTTACACGGGTATTTGGTTTATTTTGAAGAGTCCATATAAAATATGATGTTGCCCAAGTTGACCATTATAGTAAATTGGTTAAATTAATAGTGGACCAGTTTACAAAATGGGATAAATGGTAGTAACATTTTTAATGTCCCACTGTATAAACCAATATCAGAAGGACTGGATGGATGGGACAATTGAGATCTAGGGACAACTTTCATCCAGTAACATATTAACATCCTAGAACAGTGCACAACCATGTTCTCTTTTTGCAGGTTGTGATGAAAAGGCAATGTCAGAATAAATCTCAGCAGGGTCATCATGTTAGAACACCAAATAAATAAATAAATAAATAAAACATAAAAAATAAAAAATAAAAAGTGTCCAAGCCAGTAACATGGGACCAAAATGTCAAAAAATAATGTCACTGCACAAACAATTGCTTCTACTACAACTGCAACAACTGAAACCATACATATAAAAAGTGGGACAAACAGGCATAACCACACACCTCTCACAAGTCACAAGTTTCACCAGGGCCTGTTTGTTTTCCCCCGCTTCAAAATAAGAAAAATTCACCTGCAATGTGACAACCAAATTGGATGAAAAGATAAGTTGCTGGAAACAAAAACCGCGATATGTTATTGTTAGATTTGCATAAAAGAAAGAAAAGGAAGAGAACTGTATATTATTCACACTCATAAACCTATTAGGGTTACACATACTTATAATAAAAGACTAAAGGAACAAAAGACATAACTATCCTTAACTACCCTTATACAATAATACTTAACAGTTATAACTTTGAATCCCTTGCATGATCATTTTGTTGACACAAAAAATTTACCCCAACCCTAGGATCTTAATGCCCATGAGGAAGATAACCCCCAAAGCAGAAGTGCTCAAAATTTTATGAGGCTTCTTAGTGCCTAATGTCTCACAATGATAGTTTGTTGATGACATCATCATTTTCAACCCAGAAGAAGGGGTGAAATAATAAACTTCAGATTCACCAATGGCACATTTTACATTTTGTATCTCCACTTCCTAAATTTATTTTCTTTATTCAATTAGCTCTCTCCCTACCTACAGAATTTGATGGAAATTTCAACAATTCAATGAGTGGGCAATTCAAATACATTCAAAATTAGTTTAACTATCAAATCGGATGCAAAGATAAGCTACTAGCAACAAAAACCATGATATGTTATAACTTTGAATCCCTTGCATGATCATTTTGTTGAATAAAAATTTTAACCCCTCACCTACGATCTTAATGCCACTAGGAAGATAACCGACTAAGAATCTCAGAAACAGACATGGACTGTGAGCCCCCTAGGATCATAATGCTTCATCATTTCTATTTCCTTTAGTGTTTTTTTCTAAAAACACTACTTCAAATCTGAAATTCTAATTCTATGGGATGTTATTGGACACATTTTTAATGTATGAAAATTGTAACAATGCTTATGGTTTCCCTTTTTCCTAACATCTTTTATTTTAAAGTTTTGAGCACAAACAACCGGTAAATACAGCCATCTCTCAAAAAGTCTAGAAACACCGATTTTTGTAACCGCTGACAAATATGAGTCAAAATCTTCCTTTAAGTGTTGGCTTTCAAATAAAATTGGTTTTAATGAAAATGAGTGAGTGGTTTGAGCGAAACACTGATTTTTGTAACAGCCGACAAATCTGGATAGGTCTGGAGTATTTTGTTAATATCTAAAAATCTAGAAGGGCTATCCCACTTTTGTAAATTGGGTTTGAAACTAGATTCATTTCTCTCCAAACCCTCAAGAGGCCAGGTCTTTGGGGCCACAAAAAGTAATTTTGCCACATTTATTTCTAAACTGGTTCAATCTGGAAATTCTGAAAATGTGTTAATGTGCTCTTCATTATGGTTGAACTCTTCTATGCTATGTCTCTTGGATGTTTTATCTTCATCATGTCATATATACTTATTTTGTGGGTTTATTTATTGTGCATAAGTTACCACCACATGTTTAGCTTTGATTGGTATCTTTTTATGACCATGCTTTGTTCTAACCGAAAAGCATAATGTAATTAATAAAGGGGAAACCTAATGGTGTGATAATGGATTGTGATCACTTGTAGTATTTTTATGAGATAATCGGATTGATGAGACAAATGAACTAGTTTTGGAAATGGAAAAAAAAATGATGGATTGTGGGGTTGAGTATTACGCAAGTGTGTTTTCGAACCCTAACATGGTACGGGAGGTATTCTGGCTACTTAACGAAATTGGGAGGTATAAGGGTGGCAGTGAGGGTTTCACATAGGAAGAGTATCCCTAGAAGCCCGTTCCCTTGAGGCAGACCGTGATGTCACCACTCGAGTATGTAACCTCGCGTGGGCATCATTATTAATTGTACAACAAGCAATGCATTGGTATTTGTTTAACTAGGGGGGGTCAAAATTGGTTGTGGTCAGTGTTAGTGGTTGGGTAGGAACGGCATTTCACGGGGAGTTGCCTAGAACTAACTTAATTGATTGATTCTTATTCTTTAGCACTGAAATTTATTATAAGCTCTACTTGATTATTGCTTCCGCTGTATATTATGATCGTGCCATTATTTTACTTTTGTATTTGGAATGGGAAAAGGGACGGAGTGTGTGTGAGTTTAATGGGCATTCCAAACTCATGGCGTTTCAAGTCAGGTGGAGAAGAGTATTGCCCTGAAGACAGTGCCACCAAGACTTTTGAAGAAGTATGGCTTCCGTAGAAGAATTTCAAGACTTGTTTTGTTCATGCCTATTTGTCAGAATATTCAGTTTTATGTATATATGACATATATACATAAAACTGAGTATTCTCACACTATTTTGTAATCTCATTTGGATTGTAATATTGCTTAAATTTCCTATCTTGTAACCAAGACTTGACGTTTGTAATTACTATATTTTGCATATATATATTATATATTTTTGTTTAAGACCTATCTACAACATAAATCCCTCATCAACTCTTGTTGTCCTTGTGTTAATACCTTGAAAAGATTTGTCAAAAAGGTAGCTCCGCTTTCTAAGGAGATTGGACTTCGAAGGAAAGCTATTTTGACTCCTTCGATCTTTCTTGGGATCTTACTTGGTTATTGATCAAAGGACACATTAGTGACGTTCCTAGACCTTCTTTCTTAGAATAGAATTTGGGGCGTCACACAGACACAAACACAAATACAGACAAGGGCACGAGACATGGGACACAGTCGTATAAAAAAAAATGAGGACACAAACGTAGTGGGGACACGGCAATACAAAATATTTTTATATATAGTTTGTTTGTTATGAATATTACACCATAACAATCAAAATTAACAAAAATAACACTAATTTAGTATATAAAAATAAAATACCCACTCTTAAGTCAACTCTTATCGTTTAACACTAATTTATTTTTATTTTATTTGCTATGTTTTTTTATTTTTTTTATTTTTAATGTTTCTATTAATTATTTAAATCAAAGAAAAAAGTAATAAGCATTCAACATCCAACCAAAGCACTAAATAATATTTAATTAATTAAAGGGGCATGGCACGTGTTGTGTCCCATATGTGTCCCTGCCATGTCCCAATGTTCCCGCCGTATCCCCGTGTCTTACACCGCTACTGCAAATATTTTGGAGTGTCAGTGCTTCATAAATAATCGCTAAAGCAAAAATGCTTAAAATTTTATGAGGCTTCATAGTGCCAACATAAAAATAGTGGCTCCCATTGATAGTTTGTTGATGACTCCATTTTCACCAAAGAAGGGGTGAAATAATAAACTTCAGATTCACTAGTGGCACATTTTAATATTTTTATCTCCACTTCCTAAATTTAGTTTCTTTATGCAATTAGCTCTCTCCCTAAATCCCTATCTACAAAATTTCCTGGAAATTTCAACAATTTGATGAGTTGGCAACTCGAATACATTTTAAACCAGATTAAATTTATTTAATTCAACCTAGAAGAACTGTGAAGGGAAGAAATTAAGGTGCAATTTTAGATTGGAAAGTTAAGGAACAAAAAACCCACCTCCAAAATGTAGCAGAGCTAATTTAAAACTCATGTGATGTTCTCATGACCTATAAATTTGAACCCCTCACCTAGGATGTTAATGCCACTAGGAAGATTACCCCTAAAGCAAAAGTGCTCAAAATTTTATAAGGCTTCTTAGTCAATAAAACAAAAATAATGTCTCTTAGTGATGTTTTGTTAATGATATCATCATTTTCACCCAACAAGTAGGGATGAAATAATAAACTTCATATTCACCAGTGGCACATTTTACTTTTTGTATCTCCACTTCCTAAATTTAGTTTCTTTACGCAGTTAGTTCACTCCCTATTCATAGAATTTAATCGAAATTTCAACAATTTGATGAGTTGGCAATTCAAATACATGGAAAACTAGTTTAAATTCATTTAATTCAGCCTAAAAGAAGTAGAAAGGGAAGGAATTAAGGTGCAATTTTAGATTGGAAAGTTATGGTACAAAAAACCCACCTCCAAAATGTAGCTAAGCCAATTTTAAAACTCATGTGCTGTTCTCATGACTTATAAACCGACAAAAGGACAAGCTCCGTTTGAGACAACTCAAAGGATGATAAACTTCGTAAAATAGCTTAAACATCTCTTTCTTATGAAGATTTCAAAGAAAAATCAATTCTTTATGGCATGCAATTATTGAAAGTATACGGGTTTATAGGACAATGGATGGGGTTCTTCTGTGGCTGGATGGGAACTATCAGTCACCATAGAAATTTATCTCTCAAGGCCTTTTGCATTTTTCTCGTTCACTCACTTTGTTGTGGGTAATGGAGAGCTTAATGCTTGAAGGGATAAAAGTCCGTTCACTATTCTGTTTCCATGACTTTATCGCCTTTCTAGAACTCACAATGTTTCAATTGAATGATGGTTTTATCTAGCTCCACTCCAATTTCTTGAAATTTTTAGTTCTTTAAAAATCTCAAACGACTGTGAGGTTGATGAACACACTTTTTAATGGCAATCCTTGATAATGTCTCTTTGTCCAAAGCTTTTATAAAAGGGTAAGGTGCACCCTTCATTCATCCATATTGTTCTCTTACAAATTTGTCTTTGATAAATTAATTGATGATTCTAATCCCATTCCTCGCTCCTCACAAGATGATCCAGAAAGATTATGTGCCTCTTAAGGTTAAAGTGTTTGCTTGGACTTTGGCTTATAAGAAGCTTAACAGCAAGACAACGTTTATTTACCAAAAAAAAAATGACATCGTTAAAAAAAAAATTGCCAAAATGTTATTTGCAATCCTAATGGTGTGTCATGTGTAAGGAGCAGATGAAAATGTTGGTCATTTATTTAGTATTGTTCTATTTATTTACCCCTGGTGGATGGTGATTTGATTTGCAGGCTGGAGTGGGTAAGTTCTTCTTCTTGCGTTCATTTGTTGTGTGTTGATCTTAGAGGTTATGACTCAAGTGAAAAAGTTAAGGATCTTTGGAAATGTGAGGTGTGTGTATTTTTCTGGATCATACAGTTATAAAAGAATGATAGAATCTTTGGAGGGAAAAGTGAATATTTGGAAGAATTGTGAGAGAAGATCCACTACTTGGCTTCATTTTTGGGTTTTGGTATATCTCCTTCCTATAAGGACATTCCTTTATTTTTTATTACTAAAGATTGGAGGGTTGTTATCTTGATATCCTTTGTGTCTTCTTTGTTTTCAAAGGGCTTCTTGTCCTCATTGTTTCCTTGTTGTCTTTTTGTAATCCATAAATAAATAAACAAAAATTTGTTCCTCAAAAAAAAAAAAAAAAAAAAAAAAAAAAAAAAAAAAAAAGAAAGAAAGAAAGAAAGAATATTATATTGCCCTTATTTGTCCCCCTTCCATATAGGCCAGAAAGTTGTTACATAAGAATAATAAAAATAGCAAAACTGATTCCCTTTAGAAGACTTCAAGAAGAGGGTAAGGTTTAAATGGTTAATTAAGCAAAATTCTGTCTCAATCTATATAGCAAGAAGCACAAACACTTCTATCGTGGAGGCGACATTGTCCGACAATTCTTCAATGTGTCATAATTAAAATTTTAAATTCATATCAGATACATTTTTTTTTTATTGGCATTGGGGTGTCCAGATCAAAGCACAACTAATCCCCAGGGGTACACAGGCCCTCAAGATAGAGTTTCCCGCAAGTGCACCAAGTTAATTGAAGGTTTTCTCCTAACCCAATGGCCTTAAGAAATTATTAGCACCTAAGAAGTTTCGATCCCTGAACCTTGGAGGGAGCACAACCCCAAAACCCAAGGCCTTGCCACCAGGCCAACCTGTTGGGGTTTCATAATATCGGATACTTTACAAGCACTTTTGGAACAAGCATATCGTGTCCTAGGCCAGGTGTATAATAAATGTATAAAAATATAAAAGTTTAACGTGTCCCAGGCCAGGCATATTGTTTCCTACATTTTTTAAAAATTGTTGTGTCAGTCTGTATGTGTCTTGTTGCGTGTCATGTGTCTGTGCTACTTATATATATAGCTTTTTCACACTCTAGTTTGAATAACGTAACATTTGGGTGAACTCTCATAAAATATAAAAATAAGAAAAAAAAATGATTATAGAGATTCCCGAAAAAATATAACTATTTGTGGGACTTTTTTATCCAAACCTGACCTCCTCCATCCCACCATTTCATTTTATCCTTTTTGTAGAGGAAAAACTTCATTGCTCAAAGGAAAGGGTACAAGGTAGGACAAGATGTCCTTATAGTGAAACAATACCAACTTCAAATGCTAGCAATAATCATAAGAACTTCATAAAACTCCTAAAAAAGTTCAGCACAAAATTTCTCCAAGCACATGTAACTAATCAAATATGTTTTATATAGAGAGAAAAAATGATGTTGAAAATCTAAAAATTTAGAATGGATTTCACGATTATTCTAGAGTCTATTTATTAAAAATAAAAAAAATAAAAATAAAAATAAAAAAGAAGAAAAGAAAGGAAGAAGAAGAAGAAGAAGAAGAAGAAGAAGAAGAAGAAGAAGACAGAAAAAGGATTGTTCTAAAGTGCTTCTAAATTGTTATGTCATCCAAAAATTTAATACTAGTTGCAAGGATCCCACAGACAAAATCTCGCTAATAACCCAATAATTGCTTCAACCCACATTATATACTATCTCAGGTAAAATACAAATCAAACAGAAGATGGGTAGAATAACACTTTCCTCATAGCTTGCTAATCCATCTTTTTCGTTGCAATGCTTGTTACCACATACAAACTGCCCTGACAAACAAGGGTAAAAGGTCAATTCTAATTCCTACTGTCATTACAACCACAAGACATTTTTCCATTGTACAGAGAAACAGAAGGGAAAAAAAATGCCAAATATTACAATAATGAAATCACAAGCCAAGTCGTGCAAGACTAGGAATTTTAGTTCTAGAGCCACCTCAACATGGTTACATATTAATAAATAAAATTAACTGTTTATCCTAAAACACTTCCAATTATTTCAATTTCCAATGATCTAAAGACTTGCTGCCCAGAAAAATGAATCACTTCAAATATTTGATACCCATAAATTATTTACAATGATTTAAACCATCTAAAAATTACATTTCAACTTCCAAGGATCAAATTTCTATACCTTCTAGTTCTAGAACGTTGCAAGCTTCAAAAGAACTAAACTACAAGCATTTCAAAGACATTATCGATTTTAAAATCCTTTAATTAGTGCAGAAATAATCCAGCCAAAATTTTGAACAATGAATAATAATAATAATAACCCAGCGAAAATATTTTCTAATTTTGATATCATACTGTTTTTGATAAGTAACGATAGAAATTGATTTTATACCTATGGCCTAAAATAAGAAGTTAAATCCTACTTACTGATGGATGTTCCAGTATAATAACATTTTGATTAATCCCTTTCTTCTTCACACAATGTATTTCAGGCCTAGTAGCATATGGATCTCAAGCCTTTCTTGTTGTCAGTAGCAGCAATCTCATCAAAAACCAAATTTGCAAGTCTTTTTTTCCTTTGGTACATCGGAGCCATATAGCCTACAGGATAGGAGAGCCAAATCTGGCAAGACTCTTTTTTCCTGATCGGCAACATTTTTTTTTTTTTACTTTTTTTGGCATATGGCTAGACTTGAAAAATCAGCATCCTTAGTGAGGTGTAGCGGTTCTGAGCAACTGAAAAATTGCAATTTTTTTACCTTTTGTTTGAGTGTTTCTTGAGTACACCATCAATTATAGAGATAAAGCCCAATCCAAGCTACATCACATCTCAGATAATGAGAATAAATGCATTGATTGCTCTTTCAAAGTAATGATAGAATTGCAAACAGTTTTCACAAGCTAGATTACTCAGAATCCAATGGCCATGAGCTGCGCAGACAAGTATACAAATAATAAGTAGGTTCAAAGAGGTTCACCCTTCACCATATTTTCCAAAATAGATCATCATATTTTACTGAGCATTAAAATGCCTGCAAGAGTTCTTCAAGGCTGACAAGTATACACATAATAAAATCATAGGCATGGTTGTTAGAATCATACGATTCACGATGCGATTCATATGATTTGATACGAGTTTCAACAAAAACGATTCTAATCATGTTGTTGAATCAGAAATTGAGTGAAATTTACAATTCACTACGATTCATTGCAATTCACTACGATGCACACAATTCACTACTATTTCTAAAACAACATCGTTTTCGCCAAACTATGAAGATATATAAAAGAGATTAATTAATTAAACTGATATATGTGATTTTATATGTATACACATATATATAATGTAGTCATATTAATAATTTACTTTATTTTAAACATTGAATGCATTTTTATGTGTATATAAAAATATAGAATTATATATTATATTAAATAAAATGAATCTCATGATTCAAGATTTACTATTTTAGCAAAACGATTCACGATTTGACAACAATGATCATAGGTTCAAACAAAGTAATCATATAAGAACAACAATAACAACAACAATGTAGAAGTTACTGCAGAGATGTTACCTTTCCCAGATACGACTTCTTTTTCAGTCCTCCACCTCAGGCCAATCTACAAGAAAGAAAGTAGAGATTCAAAGAAAAATACACCCAGAATATCAAGGCAGTAATTACATAAGATAATAAATTATTTAAATGATAATCTTGAGCCTACAAAGATTTCAATTTACAGGGAATTTCAATGCCCTTTGTGATTTGTAAAGGATCCACGTGACTGTTGTCCGCTGAAAAGAAATATAATATTTAAGGAAAATGCTATAGATCCCAAATAATCTACTAAATTTTCTACCAAACCTCTCACATGGGTGTGAGACCCACACAAATTCACATGTGTGTGAGTCCCACACCCATGTGAGAGGTTTGGTAGAAAATTTGGTAGATTATTTGGGGTCCCTAGCATAACTCAATATTTAAACAAGCTCTTATCTAGTAAGGGAATTTTCATATCCAATAATTGAAAGAGCTTCTTTTTTTTTTTCTTTCTTTTTTTTTCTTTTTTGTAAAGGATAGATGTAACCAACACTGTCAATTTTTAAAGATGCAATTCATCAACATATGGGTCCTGTACTAAAGAAATTGAAATGTTGCACATTAAGAATCCTTAAATGGGGCTGGCTTATTGCCAATAACTCATAAAAACACAATACATTCGTGAGTTGTGCGAAGAAAAATAATACTATTAAGAGTGCTGTTAATAGCACCCCAATAATTACTTGGGACACCCCACTTTCATTTTTTTTAGTACAATTTTGTCCTAACATCAAATTACAGATTTATCCTCCACTCTCACAAACCCTAACCCACCTCACCCCCACTCCGGCTGGCAACTTTTGCCGCCATCCTCAACTTCGGCCGCCATTGCCATCACCACCACCCTCACTCCGCACTCTCCAGCGCGCCACCACCCACACCACTCTTGGATTGTTCGCACCCTCTCTCTGCCGCCATCCTCCAACTTCGGCCGCCATTGCCATCACCACCACCCTCACTCCGCACTCTCCAGCGCGCCACCACCCACACCACTCTTGGATTGTTCGCACCCTCTCTCTCTCTCTTTCACTCTCACTTGCACACGAGATCGCAATCGCAATCACAACCACAAAAGGTTAGTGATGGTGGCAACCCACTCTCCCCGCGCGATCATCACGACTGCAACACTACTTGTGATCTCCCCAGATTCTCTATCTCTCTCTCTCTCTCTCTTGCACACAAGATCGCGATCGTGGCCACAGAAGGTTAGCGACGGTGGCGACCCACCATTCCCGCACGATCATCACAACTACAACACTACTTGCGATCTCCCTAGATTCAGTTCGGCAACCCAGGATTGAACCACCACCATTTATTCGGTGGTTTACACCTGAAGCTCCACCATTTGTTTGGTACCAATTTTTCGAACCAGAGGTGACGATTTCAAAAGAAGAGGAATCGAACATGAGCATGACGGGTGTCACACCACAGATTTTTAAACTAGAAACTAATTAACCTAAGCGTGAGGTTTTAGAAAGAAGTCTCGATCTTATTCATTTGTTTATCGAAAATCTTCTTTCCTTACTGTTAGAATTTTAAATATTAAGAAGATGAAGAAGAAGAATGAGATAGAAAAGGAGAAGAATGAGAGAACGGCTGCTATTGTATTAACAATAATAATGATTAGGGTTCTCCCTTCTTACATATATATTTATAATAAAAGACTAAAGATCCAAATGAAATATCTACTCTTAGACACTAACACTTACCACTACGCCTCAAGTTGGTACAAATATATCTCTCATGCCCAACTTGCAACAAATTGAATGAAAGACCTTACTGCTAAAAGTTTTAGTAAACACATCCACCAATTGATCTTCAGACTTCACGAAAGGCATACCTATCAAACCCTTATTCAATTTCTCCTTAATAAAATGTCTATCGATCTCAATATGCTAGGTCCTATCATGTTGAACAAGATTGTGAGCAACACTGATGGCAACTTTGTTATCACAGTACAGAGTCATAGGATCCCCGTAAACAATACCTATATCACCCAACAAAGACTAAAGCCACATGAGTTCACATGTACCATGCGCATAGCTCGGTATTCTGCCTCTGCACTAGACCGGGACACCACCGTCTGCTTCTTACTACGCCAAGTGACTAAACTACCCCCTACAAAAGCGCAATAACCAAATGTAGACCTTCTGTCATCTATAAAACCTACCCAATCTGCATCTGTAAATGCCTCCAACCTCAACTGACCACGATTAGAAAACAAAATCTCTTTTCCAGGGACTAATTTAAGGTACCTCAAGATGCGATACTATGACAAACCAATCATTCATGAATGACACATATCATATTATTCTTGCATTCATGCCTTGTGTTATATGCTTATGTGAATTAAGGCTTGCTAGGAACTAGAGAAGAAGAAGTTAACTTTAAAAACCTTAAGTGTGGAATTTATATGTTTTGTGCCTTGAATTAGGGGATGACTTTAGACTTGACTTGTGAATGCTAAGATGTACCTATGCACTAATTGAGAAGCTTAAAGATCTTAGACTAATGTGCTTGTCATTTTGGTGTTATGCGAAATTTTGCTAATCAGGATTAGTGTTAATTAAGTACATTTAGTGAGCCTTAATTAGGATTAATTAAGTAAAGTAAGATTAAGTTTAAACCTTAATTGATTGGTCCTAACCTTGGTTAACTAAGATAGGTAAGTGAGATTAAGGCAATTAGTCGAAGCATACAAATAGGTGATACATACACCTCTCCTTTTCGTCCTAATTTGGTCTGTGTCTTATTTTGAGTTCAATAAAACCAAAAGAAGAGAAGGAAACCTGCTGGGGAAAAGAGAAAGAACTATAAGAGAAGAGAAAGGGCAAGAAAGAAGGAGAAAAGAGAAAGGGCAAGAAAGAAGGAGAAAAAGAAGAGAGAAAAGAGAAAAGAGAAGGGTTTGTAGGAAATCAACCAAAAGCTCATCTACAATTATTCTAAGGTAAGATTCTAGCCCTAATTCTTGTAGTAAACCCACCTACCAGCTAAAATTGGAAAGAAGTTAGGATTAATTTGAGTTAGTTACAAAGAAATGAAGGAAATGAGTGAAGAAAATTGAGATAGGTTGAAGAGTAAGTAGGTGGTTCTAATTCTTGCTAATTTGATCTTGTTCTTGATGTTCTTAATTTGTAGGAAGCTATATTCTCAAGTTTTCTTATGGTTTTCAATGATTTTGCAAGTTCAATTCATGTTTTGGAAAGATGGAAAATTTGAAAGGTTTGAATAATAAAGAGTAGGGTTGAGGAATTTCTTGACAAAACCTATGATTTGAACCTTAATACTTTGAAATACATTATAATTTAATGTTGTTCTTTTGAAAAAGATCATACTTTCATAATTTTCCATTAATCTTGCATGTTTAACATTGAGTTTGCAAGGTCCCTAGCTTAGGTCAAGAAGAGGAAGCTTAGAACAAAGAAAGATTTTCGAACAGCGTGCTCCAGCCACTTTCGCATGTGCGGCAGTGACTCCCGCACGTGCAACCCAACCCTCCAGAATCCAAATTTCATTCTGCAATAACCGCATGTGCGGGGGCTCATCACATGCGGCCCCCCTGTTCCAACACAAAATCTTGTTTTTCATGCCTTGTTTACCTAAGACCCTTCCATGCTTGCATTTGACACTTATTATATACTTATTTGAGACTTGAATTAAGCCTTGAATGGCACTAAGCACTTGAGAGAAGTTTACAAAAACATTAAGCTAAGTTTAGGCACTTGGTTTGTTATGTTTTTGCAAGTTAAGTTAGGTACTTCAATGTTTTGTTCTTGTTTGTGTAGGTTAAGCTTTGGAAGAGTTTACCCTTTGTTCAATGAGCCATTTGTGAGTAGTAGTTTAGTAACACTACGTTTGATAAACTATGTCTCAAATGCAAAACTTATTTATATTTATGAAAGTTATGCTATTGTTTGTTATGAATGAACATCTTATTTTCTTGTACAATGTATTTAGATGATACTCTTGGATAGCATCTTGATGGCCAAGCTCACCATGCCACCTTCGGGTGGATCATTTAGTCGGTACCCGGGTCGGTTAAGCACCTTGCAATCCTTGATATGTTCATCGTTATGTAAATGTTTGCAAATCAAGTTTTGTACTATCTTGCTCAAGTTAAGCTATGTTTAATTTATGATTTTATGCTATTTGATAAAACCCATCGGTGTTCATTCATTTACCGCTTTACTTTATTACTATTCACTGGGCAAATGGCTCACTCCTCGCCCCTATATGTATATAGGTGATGATGAAGAGCACAGTTAGGAAGAGAAGTCGAACTAGAAGTCTTTTATTTTGTTTTGTCCTTTTGGGAGTTGTAATCTTGAGACAATAGTTTTGTTTTTCAATTTTGGTTTTGTGTAGTTGTGTTGTGTACGATATACTTCCTTTTTGTTGTTCGGACTTGTAAATATCAAGATAATAATATGAGAAGTATGCTTGTTATGTTTTCATACGACTTATGTGCATGCTCTAAATGGACTCTTGATAATAAATGGACAAATGATTATGCATAAGCCCAATGTTATTAGTCTAGTCTTGTCTTGTCTTGCTAGGCCTTTGGTAGTTGAGTACTACTGGCCGATCACAATGCTATCCTATTTGGGGTGGGATAGGGTCATGACATATACACAGCTTGCAAATGTGTTGGAAAAGAATCATGCATAAACTGACTTACTATCCCAACTGCATAGGTAATATTCACCTGAGAGTGAGATGGGTATATAAGTCATCCCACAAGTATTTGGTACCTTTCCTTCTCCACAGAGATACCAACACCACTGCAAAGATGATGATTAACCTCAATCGGTGAATCAGCTGGTTTATAGCCCAACATGCCCCTATCTTCAAGAAGATATAGAATATACTTCCTTTGAAAAATAAAGATGCCTTTGTCAGACCTGGCAACTTCAATCCCAAAAAAGTACCTCAACAGTCCAAAATCTTTGATCTCAAATTCCTTGGCCAACTGCATTTTTAGATGTGCCACATCCTTCTCATCATCCACATATACAATAAGCA